ATTAGAAAAAGGTCTTTTCGAGGATAAAATATATATAATTATGTTATATATGAAGAAAATGTAGGTTAAGTATAACATCAATGCTTAATTAGGAATAATATCAATAGTTAAGTACATAATAATCCCTGGTGTTTCTTTAAACTGGAAAACTCACATCGTATTTTTTATGAAAATTTTGAGAATTTATCAAGGAAAACTCTAAATTTCCGAACATATTAGGCCTTTATTAAAAAACAACAAGGTTTGCTTAGTTATAGAGACTCCAATGACTGCCAGCGCATCCGCCTAGATAGCTCATTAAGCACACACAATTTTGAGCGGAACTCCTCAAGAATTACTTAACATCAAAGTATAGAATGTCACAAATATGAATCATACACACATACTCACACATGAATTGCTACCACATAAATTCAGAAGACGGTGGTCAAAAGTTCAGCCAACACATTCTATGGTCCATTACCCGGAGCTGCTCTAACATAACGAGTAGATTTTAGTGTGCCTCACATGCCACTGCCTCTGGCTACAAGCCAGGGTAGCCAACTCATTTTTGAGAATTCTCCGATTTCGACAATGAAATTCCCGGATTTTGTCCGAAATTTCGTAAAATTCCCCACCCACAGACATCTTCATATTTAAAAAAAAATTGTTTATATCTTGATATATTAGGTCCATTCAATAACTTTTCCAGTAAGTACTTGCAGCGAGAGCATAAAAGAAAAATAGAGAGTAAAATTGAGAAGAAGAGAAAATTATCACGAAAAGTTATTGAGCGCAAAACTATTAAAAATTTGCAAGTTAACAGCTGACATGCTGTTTTGACATTTCATGCTGATGTTAGGTTTGTATAGTAACCAATAGTCAGTACTAATTTGTACTGGAACCTGCAAATTTTTACTGGAAAAGTGTATGATAACCCAACAAATTTGCAAGAGAGCGCTGAATCGAGAGCGTAACAACACGGGAGAGCTGCAAATTCTTGCTAGTGAAATTTCTACTAGCAGAAATTAGTTAATTGAATTTGCTCACACAAGCTCTTGGCTCAATCATTATCCATTCGTCCTGAAATATACTAGCCAGAAATGCGACCATTTTGAAATATGAGTGTTTTTACTCTCTAGAAAATAATTTATGCGACCTCACATACGCGGTTTTGCATTATCTTGGCACGCGGTTTTGCACTTTGTTGATACGCGGTTTTGTACTTTAAGCGAAGATATGTACGTAAAGTATATTAAAATGTCGTTTCGACAGAGCATATGTAAAAATTCAATGTAAACTGGTTTGAGATCGTTAATATAAAAATCATTTTATACATAGGTAAATACATTTTATTTAAACGTTTTTAAGATACTTTTTAAATTTAAGTACATACAAATGTAAAATATATATGCATGTGTAGATATGTACATAAATTCATATAAACAGCTTATCTAGAAATAATTTTATGAATACTTCTCGAAAAGCTCAAGCAAACGCTTATTAGGCTTAAAATTAAAGCACAAACATTTATTTAATTTCATGAGAACCTGTGTAATTAAAATGTCTTCTAGCATTTCATTATCAAACGATTTCTTTGATTTGAAACTATTTGGTAAACTCATTATTTGTGGAACAAATCTTGAAAGAACCTGAAACGCCAAACTCTGTTCGGCTCGCTCTATATTTAAAATTATTTTCCAAAAGTTTTCTATGGTTAATAGTTGGTGGTACTAATATAAGGCCGACAAATTAATCGAACACTTCGTGGTTTATACAAACTCTTACAACTAAACTTAATTGTTTCTTATTCGTTAAGTCTGTGGATTCGTCTATGAAGTGGGAAAATTTATTTTCTGCAATAACTTGCATACCTGCTTAAACTGATGACGTCCAAGTACGTTTTTTACCACCGCTGTGTTTTTGCTCTGCAACAACTCATTCCAACTGTAGTTTTTGAATCCTTGAAACGCTCTTGTAGACATTTGGTTAGGCGGTCGGTTGCGAAAATGCTAAATTACGCTCTGCTAAGAAGAAACATAGCAATATTTCAGCCTTTTTTGCATTTATTATTCTTTCAATGAAGTCTTGAAAAAAGTCGCCTACTTTTTTTTTACTTTTTATGCTGCTACAGGTTTTTTGGTGCTTTTGCGAGCGTGCGTGTTGCAATAGATCAGCTCTTTCTGATTTGGCTTTTAATGTGAAATTGCAAACAGTGCAATAAGCCTCGTAACCTCAAGTGTTTACACAAGCAGCCGTTGAACGCGGGATCCTTAGTCCAAGAATCAAAAAAGAAAATGCGCGTACACGTGGCTCGCGTCATATTTAAGTCATCTGTGTCCAAAAAATAAATATCTTTCGAACCAGCTACTGCAAAAAACAAAGCTTGTAAGGATTTATTAAGAAAATAATTCAAAATCAGTTCTATTTACAAGATTTAGTAGCAAATTGCCGAAAGTGTGAGCGTAAATACTTACTCTACAAGCAAATAGTACGCTTTACACTGAATATATTTTGCATAAAGAAAAATTACTGGGAAGGTAAAAAACCTCTTTTATTACACAAAAAACGTAAACAGGATAAAAAAACGTCCAAATGTCGTTAAAAACGTCAACCTGGCAACGCTGATTGGAGCCCAATTAAGTACTATTGTAATTGTTATTGTTTTAGTATGATTTAATAGTGATGTGAAGTACTTTCACAAAAATACACTTATTCACATGGTTGTTAAATATGTTTTATCAGATATTCTTTTGTAAATTTGTTAATGAAGTTTCAATGAATGAAAAATATTGACAGTTGTTGGAAGGCAAGCAAACGATACTGAAGCTACCCCGGATTTTAATTCTTCACAGATGGCGCCCGAGAGGATAAGAACCAAATGGATTTATAATCTACACAGGGACGAGAATGTGGGTATCCTGCAGTCTTTTTCAATTCAAGATTCTGGCAGCGTAGCCGAAATGCGGAAACGTTTATCAGCCTTCGTCTTCGACAGCGAACACACAGAGGATATTCAACGGCAGTTAAGAGAATTGGAACAACAGTATTCAGCGGGATCTTCTTCCGGACAACTATCCAATAATGATGATGCAATTCCTGTTGAACCAAGGAATACCGAATTGGAGGGGCAATATTCAGCTAAATCATCTTGTGAACAATCATCCACCTTCAGAAATGATGATGTGATTCCTGTCGGCCTAGTAACTAACAGAAATCCTCCGTATGCAGCAGTTATTGATCAAGTTAGAAAATGGTCAATCAAATTCGACGGTATGAAAGATCCTATCTTTTTCATCGAACGAGTTGAAGAACTGATCGAAGTTTATGCGCTGCCATGCGATATGGTTATGAAAACCATGCCCGAAAGACAAGGGTTTGCTCTGGTATCGCAACTGCAGGCGAAACTGGCC